AAGCACGTGGATCATATGACACAAAAACTGCAGTTTGATATTTTCTTGAAAGGTTTCCTTTGAAACAAAGTAATTAAAATGTATATAACATAAAAATTCAAATTATAACATACAATGTAATGTTAATTTATAGATATATATATATATTGATAGTAAAGTGGTTTAATTAAATTCTGAATATTATGTAAAAAGAAATTTAAAAATGGCACTGGGGGCCATAGTCTTAAATAACTTAAATAAAGGAATATACACAGCATGACAAATGTAATCCGTTAACCATGTCAATACAGATCAAATAGTGTTGTCTCTATTACTAAAGCTGCAAATTAACAAAATTTGGCCATATCAATAAGTTTACAAAAGAACATATCATGATTTCAAGAAGGTACTGTTATTTTGACAACCCTATCTATGTATAAGCTTCGAACAAGAATTATTACTTCCTTATGATGTAAACATAACTTACGTTGTGGACCATCATTAAAAAGCTCAGTAAAGAAACCCATCATGCTCTCTGCTCCTTCTCCTCCATACCTTTTTACAGTTACAAATTTGGTGGCTAGGAAGACATCAAAAGCCTAGAATGAAAGAGTTTCATTCAGGAGAACACACACAAGATTTTCTTTAAAATCACCCTGTAAATCATACTCTCTTGGCTCATAATTTTTTTAATCAGAAAAATATTAAAATAAAGTCATACAATCAGTAAATCACACTTTCCTCAACAGACTTTCAAAATAAATTTCAAAGAAATGTAATGCTTGTTTAAATCATATCCTAAAGGAGCATATCCAGGATTTTCTAGTGAGGAGGATACTCACTTTTTAAAATGTTTTATAAACACAATCAAATTAACACAAAATTACTAAATATCAGATTCCACTGCCTTTCCACTAGGTTTCATCATTGTTATCATGAATAATATATCATGACAAACTTAAAATCCTATTTGCCCTACCACTAGCAATAGCACATTGCTTGAATGGCTTAAGAGACTGATGAACCAGAAAACCAAGATGTTTTTCTTTCATAACACTGTTAAGGTTATTCCCCTATGAATTATACTCATAATTTAAATTGTGCATTACCTTGCATTTATTATAATTAAAAACCATCTTCCATTTATTCACCCAATTCCATCAGCAAGTTTAAATAACTTATTAACCATTCCTTCATCTATGTCATTGATGTAAGCTAAAGAGAACATATATTCTAATATTGAGCCTTGGAGTACCTCACTTCTGACATTAATCCAGTTTGACTGAACTCCATTTATAACAATCCTCTGCTTTCTTCTATTCAACCAGCTATCCCTCACACCTACAGAGTTAACCTTTTTAACAAGACTTATGTGGCATCATGTCAGATGCTTTCTGAAAATCCAATTACACCAAATCCACACCCGTATCCCCAATCTACACAAGCAGAAACCTCTTCAAAGAATGTCAAAAGATGAGGAAGGTAAGAGTTTCCCCTAGTGAAGTCATGCTGACTATCCAACAAAATTTTAAACTTTGTTAAAAGACTTTGTAAAGCATATTTTATCAGAATTTCAAAAACTTTTCCCACCACTGATGTAAGATTGACTAATAGGTCTATAATTACTGGGACAATTTTTATTCTCCTCCCTTGAAAAGAGAAGTAACATTAGCCAACATCCAATCTTCTGGCACCTAACCACTATTCAGGGACTTACAAAAAATAATAGCAAGTGGCTCACGTATCCAATCCTTAACCTCTTTCAAAACATTTGGGTAAATATTATCTGGCCCAGGTGTTTTATCCTTCTCAAAGCTTTCCAATTTGTTCTTAACGAGCTCAGAATTAATGTGATCATTTTTTTCAACTTTGTTTCCATCCAACAACTGTTCATGGTGAGGAACTTTGCTTAAATTTTCATGAGTAAAAACTGAAGGAAAAGTAGAATTTAATAACCTAGCCTTCCCATAATCATCGGATATTTGCCTTCCAGGGTCATACTTCAAAGGCTTAACTTATATGTTAATATTTTGCTTACCTTTATTTGAAGAAATCCTTACTATATAGTTTTACATTTTCAGCTAACCTTTTTTCATAGTTTGTTTTATTTCCTCTTGATCTATAGTCCTCCATATCTCCTATCATTGCAGTGAATTTAAACATATTTATAGTGTTTTTCTTTAATTTCATCCTTTATATTATTTGTGAGCCAACCTGTTTTTTTTACTTGCAGACACCTTTTTTGTCTATGAGGAACATGTTTATCTTGAATATTTAAGAATTTATTTCTATATTTGATCAGTATTTCAAACTAATTCCAGTTCACCAATTCACAGCACATAATTCTTGTCTCATCTTCTCAAAATTGGCTTTTTTTTTAAATTTGGAACCAAAATCTCATTATTACTTATCTCCATATGCAGCAAAACATCAAGCATAATGGAGCAAGGATCACTTGTACCTAGATGTTCCCCAACTTCTACCCTATAAACATTTCTTTATTAGAAGTTAACAATAAATCTAAAATAGCATTGTTCCTAGCAGGTTACTAACTAATTGTTGAAGAAAAACATCCTGAACAGTTTCTGAAAACCTGTCTTTCTCATGATTTGACTTTAACATTTCCCACTCTATATCCCTGAAATTAAAATCTCCCTTAACTATAACTTCATTGACAGTTGAATATTTATCTTCATGTAGAGCTTATCATCAATTTCATCAGTTTCATCTGGTGGTCTATAACAAATTCTGACTGAAAACCTTTGCCTCTCATAACTACTAACAGAAACCCAAATAAATTCAATGTCATTGCTGTTATCTTTGGAATCCTCAACTTGAACAGGATGTGACTCATATTTTACATATAAAGCCACTCCTATATTTTTTGTACTCTATCCCTATTAAACAACTTATAACCATGTTGAAACTCTGTTGAATGGATGGTAACTGCTTGTTGTAGAAACACAAGTGTAGAGGACAATGTTTTGAAAGTCTTCTGCCTTTTGAAACATCATTCTCTACACTTGTGTTTGTACAACAGGCAGTTGCCATCCATTCAAATAACTTTCATCATGAATACTCTGCCTAAACAATCTATCAAAGAAAACCTATAACACTGTATTTCAAAGAAATTACTTTCATTATAAATGTCTACATCAGGTTTTAGTTATTCCCATTATATCAAAATCTTCTTTTCTGACCAGTGGTCTAAGATCATCCATTTTATTTTTTGTACTTCTAGCCTTATAATAACAACAGGTTAACCTACCATTAAAACTACCCTTGTATCTTGTTCCCCACTATACCCCTTCCACATCTTATTTTTTTTCATTATTCTGGATCTCTCCACTGTTTAATTCTAGTTTAAAGTTGCCCTTACTGCTGAACTGCTCTACTTAAGTTTAAAACATCAATTCCAAAAACTCCCTTTTCCCATTTGACTGGTCCCATAAATCAAACCATACATATTATCCTAAGCCTAGAATTCAGCCCTAATGACTTCTGATCTCATCCCTACAGTTAAGTCTTGACAGTATCCATGATAGAATTATTATGGCCCTTTTATTTGAATGCCTTGTACTTAACAATTGGCTCCTCTGATCTACCATTCCTTACTTCCCTAAGTGTGCTACAAAATGGATATTGAAGGTTAAACACAAGTCACTTATACCTCAGAAAAATCTGATTTTCTATGGTGTTTGAATGGGCCTAATTTCCACATGTTATCAGATGTGTGTGCATGTGTGGATACTTTTGATTGGTGTGTTTTTCAAATAGACTAGATGCTATTGGAATCAAAGTTGATATGATAGAAACCATCTCTGTATTTGTTTTATTGGACTAGATTAATTTTTAAATTGTGCAATATATTTTGATTAGCCTGAGAATAAACAAATTTCAAAAGAAACAAATTTTACAAATTCCTTACTTTTCTCAGTCCCATGCCAGAGCTGGATCCCTCCAGATATGGGCTATCAAGCAGTGATGATAGTATAATACAGTTAGATGGATTGGTTGGTTTGGAGAAGTCAAAAGGCTCAGTACAGGAAGTTATAGAATTCCTCAAGAAAGCTTACTGTGGGCCAATATCAGTTGAATTTCAGCACATGTCAGTAAGTATTATTTCATTAACATTATAACGTAAGTTTATTTAAAAAGAACAGATAAGTAAAGTATATGAATAACTATTATATTTATCAATAGTATATTGCCTGGGTGATCCTTATTATGAACATTTGAGTGAAAATAAAGAAGAATGTATAAAATCATATCAACCACACTACACTTAATTGTTCCAAAAAGTTTCAAAATTACCATTTTTTACTTATCTCAAGCATGATAAACTGATCATGATTTAATATGCAGTGATGTTGTTAGCTGGTTGTTTAGTCTAAACAAAAACTAGTGAAAAGCCAAGCATCCAAAATTTTGAAATAATAAGCTCAGCAAAAGATAAACAGATGATAAAGAAAAAAAGGAGCCCTCTTACTTCCAAAATATGAAACCACAGCTAAATAATTAGCTAACAACAACATTGCTCTCAAACTATGATCATCATGCCTGAGATGAGCAAAAAATGGAAACTTTGAAACCTTTGCCAAACAATTAGACAACTGTGCTATACTAAATCTGTTACATGCCTTTTGCCCAATACCAGGGTTCATCAGGTCAGCTGAGAAATGGCAGATGTAGTAGAGATCAAGACATTATTTGTATTATTACATTGCATGAACATCAGATGTTTTAGTGTGAACTGGATTAAGTTGAAGTATGTTTTTTATCAATTTTATTTAAGTCATTACAAATCATAATTAGGGTAAGAATTTTTAACACACAATATTATTTAGTTTAACACCATATATTATTAATTATCATGTTATTTATAATAACCTGCTCATTATTTGAAGAATTGGTAAACCAGCAAGGTGATGAAAAAATATAAGTAAAGGGGACTTGTATAACATTTTTTCCAATGTGAGTTTGGTGAATACTTCTAGACTGAAGAAGAAAAAGAATGGTTTGCACAGAAGTTTGAAAATATGCAGCAGATGTGGTATTTAACACCTGATAAGAAGAGAACTTTAGGAAAAGAGCTTTTGAAATCTCAAGTGAGTGTCAAGCTTTTTATTCTGTGTGATATTGAATTTATATTCAATAAATTTTGATCAGCTAATGAATGTTTAGAATGGAAAATACTAGAATTGAGGTAATAATTTTCAGTTTTAAATAGTGTAGTCTATAAAACAATGACTAACAAAGGCAGTACTAATGAGCTTTGAATGCTTTATCATAGAGCAGTGGTGTATCCACTGTAGAATGCAGTGAGTGCACACACCCCTTGGAGATCTAGAAAAATAGGCAAAGGACATTTTCTAGTGACTGATTCTATCTATTATTAATACAATATACTCAAAAAACAGTTTCGTTCAGATATTATTGATTAATTTAGTTTTGTGAGTGAATGATTTATTATTATTATTTAGTTTTTGTTATAATAAGAGTTAAAAGCAGATGATTGTAGGAAGTTTTGTTAATAATTTTTTGATGTTGAGAATATCGAATGCCACGTGCAATATACTGACATTGAGAATATTGAAGGTGGACAGACAATTAGGTGACAAAAATATAAATAGCATGAGACAAGCGGGAAGCAGCAGATAGACACAAGCAGACAGATAATAGCAAAAGAGAAGTGATAGGCCTAACGTTTAATATGTTAGAGTGAAACTAACAGTAGAAAAGAAGATAAGAAAATAATTTTATTCCATCAACGCGTGGTTCTAAAGTAATTGAATCAGCCTGAGTGCACTTTGACAAAAGGAGCAGAGGATCTTCAAAAGAAAGAAGACCAAATGATTACGATAACTCACGCCATAATTGTAAGTGAATCACAGAGAATATAGTGCAATAGAAATGGAGAAGATAGTTCGGCTTGTCGACTGAAATTCTAAAGTAATTGAATAGGCGCAAGTGGATATTTGACAAGAAGGAGAGAACTACATATATAGTATTTGTGATATGTCCATAATATCTATAGTGTTGAAGAATTTATTGTACATACATTAACTTGTTCTGAATATATATATATATATATATTATTTTGAAAACAAATGAAGTGC